AACATGCTAGAACAAAAAAGTCAAGACACTCAGACCCTATGTGTGACGAAAAGCCCGTCTAAGAGGGTTATATAAATAATACAATTCCACAATAATTTTGGAAGTATGGTGCATCAGATCTCGTTATCTCCTGTGGCATACACAATGTGAGCAGATTGTATATCTCTAATTAAAGCTGATGGAGTGAATGTGAATTTAAATAAGTCTTGTAGCGGTGTATTTCCCTCTGAATAGTCATGTCAGTATTAGATGCATATAGGTGAAGTCTCGTCCAAGAACATGACGTGTGGGGAGATCAATACGTTTTGCTGGTAGAGTGGAATAACTGTAAATTATCTGATATGTCACCACCCTTATTTGTTTGATGTAAAGTTTAAAATAAAAGTCTTATATGTATGAATCGTGAATGGTTGATACACTTCCATGATCTTGAAGGTCAGTTAACTAATTGGCATGAGAAACTATCACAGGTTAATAAAAGGTTTGGAGCACGCCGATGTGAACGTTTTGGGTCTTTCACGTGCATATAAATGTAAGCTGTGTGATAATAGGCACTGGGTCATTGTGCTATTGAAAATGCGCCCGTTTCTGGCGTTGAGAAGATAAAGGAAGCTAATTATCTTGTAAAAGTTGGGGTTGCTGAATGGCTTCCTTTTTGAAACCCAAATCAATAATAATTAGTAGCCATGTAAAAAAGAAATGTTGTCATATAGTTACAAGCTAGGTTACAAAATGGTGGAGTTTGGCTGGTTAAAGAATTAACAACAATAACAACGAAGTTAACATAGAATGGAGTTGACTACAAAACTCCAGCTTTACTTTTGAGGTGATGAAAAGTGAGAGTGAATTGATGTCACGTCCACGGGAAGCACTTGTAGCAGGTTCAATGATGTCTAATAATACCAGGCAAAGTGTGTGTGCCTAACTAGTTTAGATAAAAATATACAAGACTGCTTGTCAGAAAAACTAAGATTGTTGAGATAGTATACCTAAAAAAATACCTACAGAGTCTGCGCATTCCTTATTAGAATTAGTCATTAGAACCTCCTTGTACATAGACATTGCTAGGAGAGTATTTTACTAATTCAGACAGACTGGCGATAGATAGCCATGGGCTGGCTGCTATTATATTTCTGCTCAACGCCAGAAACGGGCGCATTTTCAATAGCACAATGACCCAGTGCCTATTGACTACAAAACTCCAGCTTTACTTTTG